AAATTCATTATTGCTATATATATATATATATATATATATATATATATATTATATAAATATATATAGTATAGATATGCACTTTTGTATTTCTATTTTTCATTTTATGATATTATTTCTTTTTAATAAATTACAGAAATATTTAAAATATTATTTACTCTTTTTGTAAAAGAAAAGAAACTATTACTTTTATTCAGCAAATGTTTTAAAAGATTAAAAAAAATTAAACTGTTTAAAAGTGACCATAGATACTTTTGTAGTGTTATAGAAGATTTCTGTTTTAATTAAATGCTGTTCTTTTGAAATTTCTGTTCATGAAATAATGCTGAAAAACTCTGTTTCCACAAACATATTAAGAAGCACAACTGTTTTCAACATTAATAATAATAAAAATGTTTCTTGAACACAAAAGCAGCATATTATTATGATTTCTGAAGGATCATGTGACACTGAAGACTGGAGTAATAATATTTCACAATATTACTGTTTTTACTGTATTTTCATCAAATAAATGCAGCCTTGGTGAGCATAACAGACTTTTAACCAACCCCAATTTTTTTTGAACAGTAGTGTATAAATATTTTAAAACAGAAAAAGTGCATTATGTGCTAACAAAGCAGCAAGGAACAGCTAATGCTTGTGTTAAATGGTTAACAATATACTACTAATAATAAGATACAACAGTCAAACATTAGCCAATTAATCAGGCTATCACTAGTACAAACCATTTTCTGCACTAATTCACCACTATTCATTTCTTTCTAATTTCGCCTCAGCTTCAACCGTATCGACATTCCTCCGTACGAGGGCTACGACAAACTCTACGACAAGCTGCTGACGGCCATTGAGGAGACCTGCGGCTTCGCTGTGGAATGATCGTCCACCGCCGGCGCTCGCAGAGGAACCTTTCTCCAGGCGGGACAGACCTGTCAGTCAGCCGGCAGACGTGTGGGCCTCACGAGGGGCTGAGGAAGGGTGGATTATACCGCAGCACTCCACGCCTGATGCTGCTATACACATCTTTCTGCATTATTTGAAACGAAGAGAAGAAAACAACATATCTTTTCAGCTGCTAGTAACTCTTTTACTTACTATTTTGGAACCTCCTCTTCCTCTTTTTGTTTTTAAGTCCATACGTTAAATTTTTAGCATTAAGACAGCATATTAACAGTATTTCATGTAGCATTTTCACAGACTAGACTTTAGGAGAGGCCGGACTTTAGAGGGGCACGCAGAATTAGAGCGCGCCGGCATGAGCTAACGCAGAAGCACTACTGTCCTTACCGAAGACTAGACGAGAGGAAGACGCAAACGTCAACAAAAGACTAAGTTTGTCATTTGGGACCTGCACAGGGTGCTGATCTTCGGCCTGCTCGGACCTTAGCAAGCCGTGAGATGAATTCCTTTCGATCAGAAAACTCAGCTCCACTGGCCTCTTCTGGGCTGCCCTACACCAGACACCATCTTGACTACCTGTGCTCCATTCCTCAAGACTGGTGTCATCCGCAGTCGGACTTATAAGCTTGTTGAAAGTGAACGAACGAATACATGAATTCTTTGGTAGGTAGGTAGGTAGGTAGGTAGTCTAGCTTTATTTTTATATGAGAGGCGTGAGAGGACGAGGTTAAAGGAGTAAAACTATACAGATATAATATATTGGCATGGTCGCAGGAACCGTTGCCGATGTTTCCAGAGCAGAAAATGAAGTTGAGCCCATTGAAATGGCTTCAGTGAGGCTGGCTTTGGCTTGCTTTGAATGTTCAAATTCCATCTTTTTTTTTTTTTTTTTTTTTTTTTTTTTTTTTTTTTTTTTTTAAAAATTTTTTAAAAAAAAAATT